GTGTCCTCGTGTCCCTCCCTATCTTTATGATGTTCACTCATCACAGCTCAGCCAAAAACTCACCACGATTATCGAGCGCATACTGTAATGGAGAGTAATTGAATGTGAAAATCTCATCTTTGAAGGATGGAATATTCTATTTAGACGTCCAGGCGTGTCCGCGCGTGCCATTACTTTGATATCAGCTGAATGCTGTTTCTCATTACCCTAATTAAAGCTCCTCGTGTGCCACTGAGCATATTAGCACACTGTTCTGCAGCAAACTAATGATCGGCTGGTTGATAATGCAACTTATTTTTTTCTCGTTCTGCTTCTCTCTTATCTTACTCTTAACGATTATCATCAAAGATTCACGTCCTCAGTCACTCAGCATCATCTGCGTCTAGAAAAGATTAAAAAGTTGAATAGCGCTACTACATTCAGAGGCTCAATCATATATACATAGAACAGCCTGGTATCACAACATGGCGTGAATAACGCTCCAGTTTAAGTCATTCCACGTTTTAGGGCAATATTAGCTTTTACCTAAACCTAACCAAGTAGTTTAGTTTGATGATTTCATAATGTTAACCACGTGATTGAAACTCACAAGTTGAGAAATGAGGACGGGGCAATAAATTAGACGCAAAAAGCTTAAAATGCGTACACATGACATGCAAAATGTCCTTAACAGTGCAAGTTGCATTTGCAAATAAAGGTTCATAAAAGCATAAAGTGAAAGACATAAAATCACTAAAAAGTCAAAGCAAATAATGCTTGAACTAAGAGAAATGGAGGCATGAGGGAACATACGTTTTATATACGTCACCTAAAGATAAATATACTTTCTGATTATCAGAGCTTGATGTCATGGATGCCACTTTTCCACATTTAAAAAAGGCAACATGTTTGATTTTATTATTGCCGTTATGACACATTCCACCCCAACCACAGGGAAACGCTCAAAATGTCACAGCAACAATCACGAGCTACGATAATTTGTTTTGCACTTTCATTTGGGCCAATTAGGGATTTCACAGACCGGATTTCCTGGAAAGAGGAAGAAAAATGCCTTCAGTAGATAAGCAAATCGTGCCTTCGATGCCACAGAATGGGCATCAACAGTACGCCGACTGAAACCAGCTCACAGAGGCAAGAAATCCTAAACATGGTTAACAAATCACCAGAAAATGCAACAATCCCCCCCCCCCCCCCGATCCCTTCAAACCCTCTAACAGCCATTATTAAGCGGCGCTAGGCTCACATAAGAGGGCATGCTGTCCCTTCCCGCCCCACTGCTAATGTACACTAACTGTACCTATAACCCATTATGGAGGCAGAGCAAGCGCAGTTCTCTTGTTTAATAGCCGCACATTTACGCACACTTTGTCATCTGGCTAAGCATTGCTAGTATAACCTAGTCATTTCATAACTGCCTTTGTGTGAAGGTGCATGCGCCTTTCGAGCGAGCGAGCCTTGTGTCTAAAGATTGCTATTGGAAGGGAGTGAAGGCGGCACACATATACACACACACACACACACACACACACACACACACACACACACACACAGACACAAATGATTGATTTCCACAGAAGGAGAGCCTCCAGTCTCTGGAATAAAGATTAATAAGGGGCCATTTACTGTACATCTCCAATCAGATCAGTGAGCAAGAGAGAGAGGGGGGGGCTAAAAAAGGAGGCCGCACAATAAATACAACCAGTAAGTCTTTGTCTGCTCTTGTCCAGTGTACACGAAGAGTCTGAAAACCACCTGCACACCTACATTCACACCCAACAACATTTACACATGCACACACGCACACACACACATACACACACACCTCACATATTTGAAGTCAGAGAGCAGCACAGGCTGATCAAACACTGGCTTGTTGTCAAGGTCCATATAGACATATAACTGAACTATTCTACGGGGCCTCTGAAACACACACCCACACCCACACACACACACACACACACACACACACATACACACACACACACACACACATACACAGAACTGCTCCTCTGGGACCCGCTAGAGCTTTAATGACAGCAAGCTGCACCGAGGAGGGGTCAGAAGGAGTCACTGTTCAGAGGCCACACACACGCAGACACACACACACACATTAACACAGGATACACACATGCACTTACAGACTTGCGTACACACACACAAACGTGAGCAAATATATTCAGTCCTCGCTCACGCACGCATTGACGGACAAAGTTTCAGGCTCATGTACAGTCAGGGAAACAAAGCTGAAATACAGACGCTGGTTTTATTCATACATGGATAGATATGCGAACACACACACACACACACACACATACATCCAGGCACCGTGGACAGGAAACACCGGGGAGGGTAGGATCCAATTTGATTTGACCTTGACAGCAGAGGGACAGAGGGAGGGCTGATAGGAGGCAGGGATGGATGGAGTGCAAGGAATCAAGAGATGGTCTGGGCCAGATGCCTGTTGCAGATACTTCAGAGAAATTAGGTGACCTTGAACTGATAGATAAATCAAAGAACAGCAGTGTGACACGGTGACATCTGCACACACAAAACGGCACGCATCAAATGTTGAAGTTAATCTAACGCACGTGTACATACGGCGTAATATCTTGAGTATTAAACCTACAAATCACACAGTGATTAGATGCTCCTTGATTCACTGATTAGAAGTGCTGCTTCTTTGTTATTGCTAGAAAATGAAATAAGATTTCCTTTTAAGTTCATTATGAATCTGATGCAATCACAACCATTTTTGTACCATTTAGATATGCAGTATTAATGCAACCACAAAATAAATGATGAAAATGCTCCAAAAAAACACAGGCTGTCAAACTTTAAAAGAAAAAAAAAATACATCAAGAAGATGAATTGTGTTTTGCCATTTTAATTCTGTTCAGGGAAAAAATATATTAAACAAAAGAGCACTTTTACAGGGAAAAAATTACCATATAGATCCTTGGAGGGTTTGTTTTTCGTTAAAAGAAAATTTAGAAACAACACACTTTATATTATCAAGTAGCAGACAAGCATTTCCTCTTCCAGATTAGCAAACAGAAAGGCGTGCTTCATTGGAGATGTTGGTTGCAACAACCAAGTCACAGATGTGCATTAACAAACAGTCTGATTGCTCATCTTGAGCACATTCTTAAAAACATCAGACAGGGCCCAGATGTGAGTGTGTGAGATGTGAGAACGATTATACGTCTGTAATGTCGACGTGCTGCAAATGCGATCTGCACATGTCATCCGCAAAAATATCCTGCAGTTAATTGGAAATATTAATCTTATCTTGTGAACTTAAGTTGAAGAGCTGCTAGAGTGGAGCTGCCAATGAATAAAGTACTACATTTGAGCCAGCGTGCACTTGACTGTGCTGAATATATATAATATATATTTTCATCCAAAAAATACTTTAATTCGATTTTAAAACACGGTTAACAACAGTATAATCATGTCAAAACTACAACCTGTCTATCCCCAATTAAAAATGTCCAGATCTGATCTGATTTCAGCCAATGTTTTGTTGATCAGTATCAGCCCCCTAAATTTAAATTACTTGCTTATTGGATCTCAATATGCTCCGTCTCCGCCAGCTTTCATCTGTAATTGCTCTGAACATTACCCACAACTTGTAGCAGGGAGGCATGTGTTATAAAACATTAACGGGCTGTGAAAACGTCTTCAATGTGGAACTATTTCAAATTAGAAAATGAAAGCAGCCAAAAATCCTCTTGTAATCTTTGGGTTTTGGATTAGAATCAAGGAACAGAAACTTGATCAAGATAATCCTACCCATGTGTTCGTTTAAATAACAGTATTTAGGACTTCACAATTGTACAAGATGTGTTGCTATTGGCCTATTTATTACAGTGGAGCAATCGTTTTTTTACCTGTTCTTACCACACTGTGTCCACCAAATAACATGATCTCTCTACTCTCATAGCATCCCACTCCTACACTTTTATCTTTGCATCTCTCTCCATCTCTCTTGCCTACTGACATGCACACATTTACTAAATATTGCAGCAAACCCCAACTCCTCACACTTACTATCACACGAAGGAAAAACAAATGAATCACAGCAGACAAAGGGAATGGCGGGCTTGGCGATATGATGCAGGAGCCATCGATCAGGCCTTAGCGATCCATTTTCCTGTTCTTGGAGGTAGAAGACTCAGAGAGGGAAATATCTTGTGTGTGTGGCTCTGTGTATGCATGCTATGTGTGGGTACGAAAAGTAGGAATATAGCGAAAGAACAAAGAAAACTAAACCGGAGCTCTGTTTTCTGTACCCTTGATGAACGGATAAGTGTATCAGGTTCCATCAATCACGTCTACAGCATGGTATCATGGGTGAGTATAGCCTGGGGGTGGCCAGTGAAGGGAGGGGTAGAAGGGGGGTTGGGGGTGGGGGGGAGGTTGGAGTGACAGAGCAGGAGAGGGACAAAGTAGGAGAGAAAACGTGGGCTGAGGGAAGGGTGGGCCTCATGCCCCGAACTTGAACTTGGAGCTGGTGGGGTCGGAGAGGGGAGGATGGGGTCAAGTCTCTGTGTGGATGGAAAAGCTGAGTGACACCAATATCTCCCTGCTCGGGGACAGATGGGGGAGAGGGGCCATGGTGTCATTTAGCAAGCTGTCGTGCGAGGCAATTTCAGCATCTATCTTGCGGCTTTCTCAAACAAATTTTGGTCTTTTGACAGATCCCTTTTGGGGTTTTGGTGCGTTGATTAAGGAATTCGACATAATTGAGGTAAGAATTACATTCAATACACTTGAGATCATCGGAAAATGGAATTTTGTCTTGATCCGGTACTGATTGGGAAGGAGATTTAAAGAGGCAGCAGATAGAGAAGATATAGAGTTAATCAAAAGGACGGTTGCAAGATGGTTGTAAGACAGTTACAGGATGACAAGCTGATGTATATTTCAAAGCGCAAACACGTTTATTCCCAATGAGTTTAGAGTGTGGTAAAATAGGTCAACCTGGCGGACCATCCTACCTTGGTCTGGAGATAGTGGGGGTAGTAGTAGGTGTAGTGGGGGTACATTTGCTGCTGCTCCAAACGTTTTCCCATGTAGCTGGAATCCAATTGAAGGTCCTGGAGGCTCGAGATAGAAGCTCGCAGGTGAGGTACGTTCACGCCGGCCTGGATCCTTCAGACGACTGCTTCCAAGAGTGGAGGATGCAGAGAGAGAACGTTGTCCTCTTACTGAGGAGTGTGTGTGATAAACACACAGAGGAAGGGAGGGACAGGAGGACAGATAGCACTTGGGGTTTTAGTCAGTCTACTTGTCTGGGAGCTCACAGGGAACCTCACAAAGAGAGACAGGCCCAGAAAGAGAGACAGAGAGAATCCGGAGTGGCAGCAAAAAAAAAGGGTTTGGGGAGAAGGAGGTGAGGAATGGAAGGTATTAAAAAAAGGTTAGTAGGAGGCAACACCGGAATCAATAGGGGGAATTGAAGAGCAGGACAGAGAGAGGGTAAAAGGAGAGGGAAGAAGAAAAGGACGATGAGGAGAAGGAGGAGGAGGGAGGAATGGATAGGATCCGGTTGTCAGTTCCTTGCACTCTCCACTCTAAAAATCAGACTGCCTCTTCGTCCCTGCTGCCCTGAACATGCCCCACAATTTGCTCTCCGGCGTCTCTTACTCTCGTCTCTCTCCTTCTCTTTCCTTCTTCCTGTGTATCAGTTTCCCTGTCTGGTTCTCGCTCCCTCTCACCACAGACGAGACCCTGATCCCACCGGGAGCTCGGCTGTGTCCTGGAGAACACGCGCTGTGCTCTGCTCTATCCTCAAAAGACAGTGAAATCAGCGATGAACTCACGCCTGGATGTGGAGCTAGAGAGAGAGAAGAGGAGGAAGAGGAGGAGAGAGGGTGGTCTTGAGCTGAAGCTGTGACTGCCTTTATTCTCACTCTCTCTCTCACTCCCTCCCTGTTTTGTTAAGCTCCGGGGATAGATAGGTAGATATCGCTGGAGCCCGGCGTGGAGGATGAGCAAAAAAAGAAAGAAGCCTCGTTTAAAAACTCCTCTTGCTCGGGAAGAAGCAGATAGTCGTATCCAGAAGCGCACTCGCACAGGAGGAAAATCCCCTCTGATCCACAAGGTGCCTCCTCCAACTCTTTTCTTCTCTTCTCCTCTGCGATCCCTCTCTTTCTTCTCAAGCTCTCTCCCTGACGGCTTGCTTCCCACTGCGCCTGGCAGCCGTCACAGTGTCTGTGTGGTGGTGGTGGCGGCGGTGGTGGTCGTGGTGGTGGTGTGTGGAGTGTGTTTGTGTGGCTGTTGCCGTCTGCTCCACTGTTCGTGCTGAAGCATAGAGGGGCTCGGCTTCAGCGCAGCTACGCTCCTCCTTCCCTCTCTCTCTCCCCCTCTTCTGTCTGTGTCTCTCTCCCTCTGTGTTTTTCATGGAACTATAGACCAGTGGGAGGGGCTGGTCCTGCCCTCGTGTGTGTGTGTAAGTGTGTGTGTGTGTACTCAATAGAAACTGAGAGAAAAAGACAGAGATGGGCTGTTCTGCTGGCAGAAAGGCGGAGCTGGGGAGGGAGTATGCGGAGCAGGAGCTGGGGTTAAGGGTGAGAAGAGGATACACGCAAGTATAATTTGGAAACAGAGGGGGCCCCCCTACTGGCACTCCGTGGGCGCAGCAATGGCACATTTTGCACAATTCAAGCTGTCTTCTAAAGTAAACCAAGCAACATAATCGTCACATTTTCCATTTTATGTTGGCCATTATCGAATCATATTTGATCATACATCAGCTGGCATAACCAACATACGCACATATAAACACATGCATGCACACATGCTTGAATGACCCTCCAAAGCGTGTGCCTGAACGCCTCCTTCACACATGACCAGCAGAGGAGGGCCCAACATAGAGTGTGTATGTAGTTCAGTGGTTGTGTGGCACAGTGACCCACTGACACAGTGCCGCCTGTTATGTGATGTAACCAGGTTTAAGTAGTGCTCTTACATAAGCATAGTGTGCCATGCATGAAAAGACTGCTCTGCCCTCTGACTGCAGCTGTGCGTGTGTGTGTGTGTGTGCGTGTGAGGGAGACAAGGGTTGGCAGACAATGCAAGTTCACTGCAGTGGAGAAAAGGTACACGAGAACGGAATGCAAACGCATTTATTTCTTGTGGGCAATTAAACTACTTTACAGACTGTGCAGCAGAAACACATCACTGTCTTTGTGCCATTGTTGGCACACTTTTCCCACGTGTCTTTCTGTATTGTTATAGCATTGTCCTGTCAGCTTGTACAATATACAACAATGATAAGTTTGACTCAAATGTACTAACAATGAAACATTTTCCAATGTGACACATAGAAAGCAAGACATCTAAAAAAAAAAAAAGAGAGAGAGATTTTGATGTGAGACAATTCTGTTTTTTTGACCACTCACCAAAAAAAATATTACGTTTGATCCAGATTAGGACACTGTCAGACAAGATAAGGAGCAAGAACAACAAGTACACTGACTCCAGCCCCCTCAGAACATACTAGTAAGTGTAAAGTATGCAGAAAACGCCCTGGGGGGTTGACTATAAATGCTACTTCAGATTTGAGAAGTGGGTAGACATTGTGTGCACCACTAAGGATGACAGTGTTTTCAGTTCACAACTGTCACTATAGTTTGGGGATGGCTTTTTCAGGTTTACAGCTCTCCTTTCTTACCTGTCTTACCTCTGCACCGGTGTGTGAAACACCTCTCCGATTATTAAGACAGTGCAACTGTAACGTCATGTCTGGAGGCAAACCTTGACTGTGAATCACTTGTATTTTCATTTTCATCTCCACTGCCTTGTTAACCATGTGACAAATGGAGTATATTTATTCCAGTCTTCAGGACATGCTGTAATTTGTATATAGTTAACATCAAAACATAAAAAGTACTAATGAAAATACCAGCAACGTCGGTGCTTTTCAATACTCAGGTAATTTAGCACCGGGCTGTTTAATACCGATATCCGGAATGCAACCTTCAGATAACATAAAACACGAATGGCTCTCGCTAGAGCCAGTGTCCGTTCTGGGCTGCTGTAGAAACATGGCGGTGCAAGATGGCGGACTCCGTGGAAGACGACCTGCGCCCTACTCCCGATATAAATTGGCTTTTTCTAAGCTCACGGAAACACTATGATTAGTTTCAGGTGATTATCCTCTGATTAAAACATAGATATGAATATTGTATTCCATTGCTGCCACTTAATTCCCCTAAATGTTACACACTGTTTGCAGCCAGACAGTTGCTTTAAGCTAGATGCGAACATTGGCATGCTAATGCTTGACAGACCAACATTGTAATCCCTAGTGCAACGCTGCTCGTGAGGCAAAATATGTATTTTCTTAAACTAAACATAAACACATTAAAATAAATGTACATATACTGTATATGTTACATTGCAACTGCCACAAACACCTGCCCAAACTTAACATGTGTTCTTCCAGTGGAAAATCCAGTGGTTTATTTAAATCAGGATACATTTTAGAAACTTTCAAACCACTTTATGAGACTATGTTAAATGGCACATAAAAAAAGGTCCCGTGATAGTTATGTGCCTACATAAAAGAAAATAAATGTTAAAAAATGTTGCCAAACACTGCTGTCAAGTAGGGGTGGTGGAACAATCAATATGGATTACTAGCTTTCATCAATGACACTAAATCAATATTTTGATAAAGATCATATCATTAAGTTTTCAAGGCACTCCGATATTTCATTTATAAGAATATAATATGTAATTTTGTACATTGTCTTTGGGCTACCACTCTGTGAATTAACCAAACCCATTTTCTAACCTGTTACATGCTAGTCATGATCTACACCCTTCGACCGTAGATGGCAGAGGAGTTGCTGCGTGAGCTCATTTTGCAGTAATTTCAGCCCGATCTTCACAGTGAAATATATAAGCGAGGTTTAGGGCCGCTGCTAGCGAGAGCAGGCTCTATTGATTGTGTTGCACTTGTAGCTGAGGAGTGTGCATTCCTGAATCTTTGCAGTCAGAAAGGTTATATGCACACAGAAGCTAAGCAGTTTGATGGTGGAAGGTTATACATTCATTCAAGGGAACTATGTGTTGGAATGCCAAATGACAGAGGGATACTGGGGGATTTAAAAGAAAAAGAAAAATTAAGATTCTGCTGACACCGCAGTTTGGGAAAACAAAGAGAGAGAATTGATTCTTCCAACTGCACAGCACAGTTCCATTGTGAGAGGCACAATCTTTACATCTCATTCCATACTCTGCTGCCAGAATAAAGCTTCCTAATTACCTTGTCTAGTGACAAGACTGCCATAATGGTGGTGGTAAATACACACTGGTTAATTGTATTCCTTCTAATATCTAACAGACTTCTATTATGTCTGAAGCACAATCTAATTGCCCACTTGTTTCTGAAGACTGAATATGGAACTGCTGCATCTGCATTACTTCGAAAAAGGACCTTCTTCTTAGGAGGGACACTATTTTCCATGTCCAAACTGACAGCTGGAGCAAAAATATCAAAGTGTTTTCATTGGCACTGTGTGTTCTTAAAGCCCCCGGTCATCAAAGCAGTTTTCAAATGGAGCAGGAAAGGCCATGCTGTGACTCAGGGGTGCGATCCTCTCATCGCTGACCAGCAGATGTATAACAAACACTAGTTCAGAAAAAAAAGAGCAGTAAAAGCCTCACATCTGAGCTAAGATACAGCTGGGAAAACAGAAGAGGTCATGATGACGCCGATCTTATTTTACAGAAGCTGCTCTGGTTCGTTTTCAAAGAAAACACTGGCCAGGATATCATCACATACACACACGCACACATATACTGTGGTATTTGAACACAACAGATTTACAGAGGTAAATGGCCTATTACAGCCAATTGCCATACACAGCATGAGGGAATTTGTGTCTTTGCAAGTCCCCCGCGATACAAACATACAGAGATGTAGAATAAACAGTTTGAGGTTTCTTTGATCCCGGACATAGAAAAATAAGAATTCAGGTTCAAACTTGCACACATTGTCAAATGTCAAACAACTGAAGCCATCAACTTTGACACCGGACTAATGCCCCCTTGTGACATCAAAGAACTCTCAACGGAGCAATACAAACTGCAGGACGAGGGTCAAGTAACCAAAAAAGATTGTAGCCGTCAGTAGGCTACTTTTCGGGAGTCTTGCCAGCTTGTCTACTTGTACTGTAAGAAGGTAATCAGAGAAGACGCGCATAAGCCAACTCTCCTTAGAAAAATAGTATAACTTTTTACAGCAAGGTGAAACACTGTAAAATCTCGTCAATCAACCTGCTGTTTGTTTATTCTTTCACATAATTTTAGTTTTGCCAAAGCAATAACGTATCACTGTGATTCAAATGTGATCAATTCGATCAACAAAACTTTTAGTTAATCAGATTCTGAATAAATATTTCAAAGGTCACTTTGAAATGATTCAATGTCTGTATTGCGGGTCTATTTTCAGTGAATGATGAAAGACTTACACCAACTAGAAGTACCAGATAGGGCACAGCTCAATGTGACTGTAGGAAAAAGAAAATGTAATTTCCAACAATCACTGAAATGTATCCATTGTCCATCCATCCATCCACTTATCCTTTAGAGCAGGAATGTCAAACTCATTTTCACCCTGGGCCACATCAGCATTATGGTCGCCCTCAAAGGGCCAGTTGTAACTGTAAGACTGTATAAATGTAACTACTCCCTAACATATTCTTAAATAACTGTCTCTGTATTTGATTATTGTTTATTCAAGTGTAAACATATTGTACATGCAGTTATATAAATGTAAAAAATATATTTAAGCACATTTCTGTTGTTATAACATAAATCCTTTTAATTTAGGGTTAAGAAACCCACATTACTCTATCAAAGATACATTTTTTAAAGAAAATAACAAAGATTATTACATTGACTTTGTTCGAAGCTATTTTTGTCACCTCTCTGCATCACTAATGTCCCCGTCGTCGTCCCATGTATGGCAGCTACATCCAAGAGCTCCTCACTGACAGTCAAGTCTGCCTTCACGCCTCTTATAAACACTGATAGATGCTCTGTGTCCATGTTGTCTGTGCCTTCATCAACAGCTAATGAAGAAGACAAGTAACTGCTCGACTCTTCGGCTAGCCGTGTTGTTAGATTGCCGTCGGTCTGCTTCGGTGTTTCTTCAAAAACTGACATTTTAAAAGTCTGTATCTGGTCGGAGCACACCTGCTCACATACCTTTAGCATGCACTGGGCTGTAACTTTTGTAAATATGTTCTGCTGCAATTGCAGTCTGCCTTTTAAT